AAGGCCAAAATGACATTGCTCTCAAATTTTGAAGTATAATTAGTGGAAAAGTCAAAAGTTTGTTAACTTTTTCTCCTAATAATTTACTACCACTAATTTGGACGTTCTGAATGCTTAGATTAAAATTAAAGAAACAAAAGCTTATACGCTAATTAAAACCACTAATTACGAGGTTCCGAATGAAGCGTACTAGTTTTACTACCACCAATTTTGACGTTTTAAATGCTTAAATTGAAATTAGGGAACGAACTTGGGTTAATTGAAACCACTAATTTCGAGATTAGTCGAATAAATTAGTGGTTTCAATTACACTTTATACTTTTTAGTTATCATTCACGATGTCTAAAAAACACAATTAAAATTAACAGGATATCCTAGCAACAGCTTGCGGTAGTCAGTTGTATCCATAGAGAAAGCCAAATATTTAGCTTATAAAACAATAAACTTTTGATTTTGAACCACAATGTCTCTTGATGAATCAAAGGCCAAAATGACATTGCTCTCAAATTTTGAAGTATAATTAGTGGAAAAGTCAAAAGTTTGTTAACTTTTTCTACTAATAATTTACTACCACTAATTTGGACGTTCTGAATGCTTAGATTAAAATTAAAGAAACAAAAGCTTATACGCTAATTAAAACCACTAATTACGAGGTTCCGAATGAAGCGTACTAGTTTTACTACCACCAATTTTGACGTTTTAAATGCTTAAAGTGAAATTAGGGGAACGAACTTGGGCTAATTGAAACCACTAATTTCGAGATTAGTCGAATAAATTAGTGGTTTCAATTACACTTTATACTTTTTAGTTATCATTCACGATGTCTAAAAAACACAATTAAAATTAACAGGATGTCCTAGCAACAGCTTGCGGTAGTCAGTTGTATCCATAGAGAAAGCCAAATATTTAGCTTATAAAACAATAAACTTTTGATTTTGAACCACAATGTCTCTTGATGAATCAAAGGCCAAAATGACATTGCTCTCAAATTTTGAAGTATAATTAGTGGAAAAGTCAAAAGTTTGTTAACTTTTTCTCCTAATAATTTACTACCACTAATTTGGACGTTCTGAATGCTTAGATTAAAATTAAAGAAACAAAAGCTTATACGCTAATTAAAACCACTAATTACGAGGTTCCGAATGAAGCGTACTAGTTTTACTACCACCAATTTTGACGTTTTAAATGCTTAAATTGAAATTAGGGGAACGAACTTGGGCTAATTGAAACCACTAATTTCGAGATTAGTCGAATAAATTAGTGGTTTCAATTACACTTTATACTTTTTAGTTATCATTCACGATGTCTAAAAAACACAATTAAAATTAACAGGATATCCTAGTAGAGAAAGCCAAATATTTAGCTTATAAAACAATAAACTTTTGATTTTGAACCGCAATGTCTCTTGATGAATCAAAGGCCAAAATGACATTGCTCTCAAATTTTGAAGTATAATTAGTGGAAAAGTCAAAAGTTTGTTAACTTTTTCTACTAATAATTTACTACCACTAATTTGGACGTTCTGAATGCTTACATTGAAATTAAAGGAACAAACTGCTGTGCTAATTGAAACCACTAATTTCGAGGTTCTGAACGAAGCTTAAATCTTTCTAATACAATGTGTAAAAAATCCTGTATACAGGGTGTCTCATAACTAAGTGCAAGTATTTTTGAGAGATTTAAAACAAACTTTTTTCTGAAATGTGTCTAGATGTCTTACATCTTAATATAACAAAAAAATATGTAAAGGTAAAGAGCAGAATATAGATTGTAAATAACAATGAAAATATTGATATAATAGAAAAGAAGAAAAACGTTTTCTTATTAGAATTTTTCTCTGTATTATACTCTTATTGTTCTATATTCCAAATTCTTTTTCTCTGGGTTTTCGCCACTGGAAGAAAATCTACAAAATAAAAAAGTTATTCTTTATAAATACTACTGTGTTGAATCCAGACGGAAACCAGCTTGTCAGTGGTTTTTTACTGTTGAAACAAATTTGCCTAACCGACAGAAAATACTTAACGTCTCGGAGAGGTTTCTCTAAAAAAAACAAAGAAAAAAAACTAAAATATATAAACACAGCTTAGCTATTCAACTTTAATTTTTATTTTTATGGTTAAAATGACATTACATCATTACATGCAACTTCAAATTTCCGATTACTACCTGATATTCCTGATAACAATAATTACTTCATGATCTAAAACCAAAAATCTTTTTGTAATCTTCAAGAAACGATAGCTCTTACATTACTAACCTCTACAGATGCCTGAGCAATATACAGAGTTGTTCACCACATACGACACGGAGTATTGTAGCTAAACAATTAGATTTCTACAAATTGTAAGTTTTGGGTTCGTTGAAGGACTATTAGAACTACAATTTAAAAATAATTTGAAAAAATATAGAGTGTCCCAAATAAGTAAAAAATAGTATAGTTATATTTTTTAAATGTAACACCTTCTATATTATTCTATTTTTAGATTCCACGATTAAAATAAAGGTAAATTTGATTAAGGTTTATCACACTTAAACCTTACCGTTTTTGAAATATTTTCAATTTTGTGAAATTGCAGTAAAAAATTTAAGGCTTCATTTCTCTAAGTGTATCAGAGTTTTTAATACTAGATATTTACTGAAGATTATATTTTATTGATCAGATATTGTGTTGCCATAATAAAAATTATACTTCCTTATACAGAGTGTCCAAAAATGTATATTAAATAATTACTATCTTTAAACGACAATAACTTGTTTAATTTAAATAGAACACCCTGTATATTTTACGTGAATCAGATGCCCAACTTAATTATTTATCAAATTGTATTATACCATTTGTTACCTATATAATTTAGACCTCATTTATCACTATAACCATGGAATATTGACATTTTGGATTTTTTTAAAGCAACATATTGTACAAAATACCATTCAAAAATAATAATATTGCAAGCCCACACATTTGTTACAAAAAGGAAACTATTTAAATATTTGTAAAAGATCCCAAAAATTAGTTAATTACATACTGTTTTAATTAATAAATTATTCTAAATAAATGTGGATTTGACTCAGAAATCAATATAATAATCGTCAAAAAATAAAATAAAATGTATAAGGTGTTACTTTTTACCATACTGTCTAATACACATACAAAATTCAGTTTTTTAGTATTTGGAGCAACTATTATTAATCAACGTAAACAGTCAATTAATGTAGTTTAAATAATACTAGGATCATATTAATTGGTCCTTTTTAACAAATAATATTTAAACATTTATTTTTTAATGAAATAAGCAAACTATATCTACAATATTAGTATCTGTACTCTTTGAAAATTTGTTACATCTTTAAAAATAATCTAAAATGTCAATATTCCATGGGTATAGTGATAAACGAAGTCTAAATTATAAGAAAAGGCATTTTCTACGTAAACTTGAAGAGATAGGTAAAAACGGTATAATACAATTTGATAGACAATTAAATAGTGCATATGAATTAAGTAAAATATACAGGATGTTCCATTTAAATTAAACAAGTTACAGCTGTTTAAAGCTAGTCATTATTTAACATAAATTTTTGGACACTCTGTATAAGAAAGTATAATTTTGATACCCTTGGAGAAATGAAGCCTTAAATATTTTTCTGCTATTTCACAAAATTGAAAATATTTCAAAAACGGTAAGGTTTAAGTGTGATAAACCTTAATCAAATTTGCCTTTATTTCAATCGTAGAATCGTTTTATTTCAATCGTAGAATCTAACAATCCCTGTATTTATTTAAGCTTCATCAAAACCTCAAAATTAATGAAGTAAATAACTGATTGCTTACAATCTTACATTGAAAATAAATGAACAAACTTTTACGCCAACTGCTTTAAAAAAGAAGGCTTTTAAAAGTCTCATAACTTTAAAAAAAGGCTTAAACATTTCTACTAATTGAAAATTGCAACCGCTAATTTTGGCCTCCTGCAAGCTTACGTTAAAATTAGAGGAACAAACTTTTACGCTAATTGGGGTTGCCAGATTGTTATAAATAAATTCTGGGAAAATTGGGAAAGATTCGGTATAGTAAGCGAGGACAAAAAACGGCGACCAAAAAAAAACGGTGACGCTCTAGATAATCACACATCACCACCCCCCTATTCCTTTATTTTCAAAAAATGTTACAATTTGTAGACAAAGGTAAACAAACAAAAGAGAATACAAAAAACAAGTATACAAATTACATTGTCAGTCTTATTGTTTAAAATAAACATTTATAAATGTTTACAATGTTAAAGAATAAAAAAATAAAAATAAGCGTGGAGTAGGTAGATAAAGATCTTGCTCCGCGTTCCTGAGTGGATAAGTGTAAGATAGCATTTCTTGCAGGGTCTATTTTTCATCTGATCGGGCCCTAAGGCCCAAGCAAAAATTCGAGCTCTCTTTTCCAATTAAATTCAAAATTTCAAGAAATTATAAATATTTTACAACCTTATCGGGCCCCCCAGACCACCGGGCCTTATGGTAAAATAGGCCCCGCTTTCTTGAGAAGCTGATACATGCTTACGTATTAGGCAAACGGATTCAAATATCAATAAGGAAGGAAGAGTTAATATTTTTAATTCTTTAAAAAAGTCCCGGCAATGAGTTCTGCTGTTTAGTCCCAGTGAATATCGAACAGCTCTCTTCTGGAGCTTGAAAATGCGGTCAAATTGAGTAATAATAATTGAGGAATTGTGTGTAACAATCACAATAAAAAAAATCAAATCAAATTGAGGAATAGCGTGTCAGTACTAAATTAAAAGAAATGACGTCTAGGGCTTGACCTCACCAAAATTATCATCGATTTTTTCGATCCTATATGGTATAAAGTATATGTAGCTGAATTTACTAATTTATTCCATTAACTTCTAGGGTTCTGAATGAAACGTTAGATTGGATTAAAAACGCCTTTATTTTTCTCAAACTATTTTTATTATCACTTCACATTAACGTTATATTATTTATTTTTTCAGGAGGCGGCTATGGAGCATACAACCCTGAAGACCCCGGCGACGTTAAAGGTTTCGACTTTAACGACCAAACCATCCGACGAGGTTTCATCAGAAAAGTCTACTCCATCCTCATGGTGCAGCTGCTCATCACCTTTGGCTTCGTGGCGCTGTTCTGCTTCCACGAACCCACCAAGAAATTTGTTCACAACACCCCCAGCCTGTTCATCATCGCCCTAGTCGTGATGCTAGTCGCCATGATCACTCTAGCTTGCTGCGGGGAAGTCAGACGCAAAGCTCCAGTCAACTACGTCATGCTGTTCATTTTTACTATAGCTGAAGGCTTTCTTTTGGGCGTTTCAGCCAGCACGTATGCACCAGATGCTGTTTTGATGGCTGTCGGGATCACTGCTGTGGTTTGTTTGGCTTTGACGCTGTTCGCTTTCCAAACCAAGTACGATTTCACCATGATGGGAGGTATTTTGTTGGTAGCGGTTATTATCTTGCTGGTTTTCGGTATTGTAGCGATCTTCGTGCACAGCCGAATAGTGAATTTGGTCTATGCTTCTTTGGGAGCGCTTATTTTCTCCGTTTATCTCATTTACGATACTCAGTTGATGATGGGTGGCAAGCATAAGTACAGTATTTCTCCTGAAGAGTACGTCTTCGCTGCCTTGAACCTTTATTTGGATATTATCAACATTTTCATGTACGTGCTGGCCATCATTGGCAATTCTCGGGATTAGTTTGTTCCATTTTTGGCTGTTTAATCATACCTGCTTTCTGTTCAAGTGTTGCGGGTTCCTATACAGAGCGTCTCGTAAATAAGTGCCAGGATTTTAACTGGTAGTATACCGACGTCGAAACATGGGACAGGAAATTCAATGTAAAATTTGAAAAGGCCAAATATTATCTCCCTAGATGATTTTATGCAAAGGTTGCATTAGACTTTTATGAAGAGATCTAGTATCAAATGTATGTAACTGTATGTGTTTTATTTAATTGCTTTGATTTCACTCTTTTTTTTTCTATTTAATGCGCTTCTATTTTTTTCTTAATTTTGATATGAATTAGATTACTTTGGTAACATACTGGCTAAATTATCACCGATATAGCTATAGATCTAGCAATCAAAACACGCTGTAAGCACAAGAATTTTGAGGTTAAAAAAATGTTTCTCTTATTTCATCAAAAATTGCATTTTTCCTCAACTCAAACTCTTTATTTTTGTTTAAACAGCATTAGAATATAACTTAAATTTACAGGAAATTTGTATTAGCACCAAACATAATTCTAATAAAATATTTTGAAATCTAGTGAATTTTTTTTATTTAAAATTATAATTAAAAATGGCTATTTTTCAAAACAAAAATTAAAAAAAAACAAAAAAAATTCAATGAAACTGGCAACATTGCTTTTCCTTCTGTCGCTGTCACATCAAAGCAAAAATTCTCCATAACGTCAAATATATGTCGAAAACTACTAAAATTAAATTAAAATATTTGGAAATTCTGTGCATAATCTCCATTTTTTTTTATTTAAAATTACTAAAAATGGTTAGTACTACTAAAAAAAGACGAAAGTACGACTTTAACGTCTCTTCATAAAAGTCTAATAAAACTTTTGCATTAAATTATCTGTGGAGAAAATATCTGAGCTTTTCAAAATGTATTTCGATGCACCACACTGTATACATTAATTGTTACAAAAAAATCTACTTAAATGCAATAAAGTATTGTTGACGATATATATTAAAACTTTTTTTAAATTCTATTTCTAATTATTATTTTATGTTGGAAATTATGGTTATCGGCCTTGCAGAAAATTCGAATCACACTGTTGAACAGAAAGCAGCAAATTCCTGTTTTTGTTGGGTTGCTAAGTTTTTTTTGTTTTTTTCGAAAGAATTTACCTTTAGTTAAGTTTCATAGAAGATTATCATAAAAATTGAGGTTGTGCTAATTATTATTGGGTATTTTTTTTACACGGAAAATTAGAGTAAAAAATATACCTTTTTGGTAAAAGAAGAAAAAAACAGATACTCTTACTGTTTACTTAATAAAATTCATCTAGGACTGTTTTGATGTGGAATACCGATCGAATATTGATTTTTCCAAATTCATTTTTTTTATTAGTTTATCAATAGAATTGTTCCGTCTATCGCCTACTGTCGTGACGTCACGCGGAAAAGATCAGGCCTTTTTTTCTCGAAGGTAGGTAACGGTCTATGCCAACCGAATTTAGGTATTGGACATAAAGTTAAAGCCCGACCAAAAATATTATTTCTGCTCTTATTGTGAAATTTTATAAAGAACAAATATTTTGATTTATAAAATTTATCTAGGTTGTGAAGTAAAAAGTATGTTATGATAATTTTCTATGACTTGAATTAATCTATTGTTAGGTTTGTTCCAACCCCGCTGAGAACCGTTTCAGAACGGTTCCGTTCATGCGCATAGGGCTAAAAGCGTTCCAACCTTGATGGGGATCGTTCTCGTACGACATTTTATTGATATTTGGGCCAGGGCGTTTGCTTGTTTTGTTTTGTGGATTTGTTTGGGGTTTAATGGGTTTTAGTGTTTAGAATTCTTTCTATACTTAGAAATTGTCTATTTAATTTAGCTAGGGTTTAACATTTTACAGTTCACACTTTTCAACAAAAAAAAACGAATAGTAAACCAAGTGAAACTTACCAAAATTATGGTTTGTGTCCATTATTTATTAATGTAGGTGGTAATTTACCACTTTTTACAGTTTCCACTGTTCTATACAATTAATAAGAATATCTGTGAAGAATATTATTAAGGGTTGTTTTGTTTACATCTTACATCAAACAAAAAGCATAGATAAATGAAACAAGTTTAGATTGGAAAGTGCCCATAAGGACAATGTAAACACTGTTTGGCGCTATTCTTGCAACGGTCGCGACCCAAAACTTTTGAAAATTTCGGAGCGGTTCGGCTTTTTCCGGAATTATATCGCCAAATATTGTTTATTCAAATTTATTATTATTTTCGTTTAATTTTATAAATAAAAGATAGTGTATTGCATACAAGAAACTTTATTTTATATAAGGGCGCATGTATGAAATACCTATGAAACATTGGAAACCGACGTTATGCCACGATCCAGGATGGTTTTGCAGTTCACAGTTCACAGCACAGCTTTTTAAGTTTTTAATGCCACTTTTTCACAATTATCACCGGTTGGAGTAAATAAAACTTGAATTAAACTCACAAGATAGTAATTATTACTTTGAAAATGGACGCTATAAACACTTTTCGGAATTTCTTTAATGAGAGCGGTTTAGATTTTGAAAGATTATTATGAATTTTGAAAATTCTGACTTTGACAAGAGAAAATTATTTCTGTTTTTGTTTGCCGTTGTTCTTAGCGACCTAAAGTCCCTAGATATATATATATCTAGGGACTTTATAGCGACCGCTATAGCAGCGCCAGATCGCATATAACGGTCGCGACCCAAAATAATTTCGCGACCTAAAATTTTTACGGGCTTTCCAATCTAAACTTGTTGCATTTATCTATGACAAAAAGTGAGGTTATTTTAACCGGTGTTTTGACAAGACAGATTAAAAATGGTTCCGAAACTGTTCCAACCGATTGTCAATCTAGAATCTTTCAAAAACAGTACCGAGTTAACGCATGTGGATAAGACTAGTCCCAATGGTTTCAGAACGGTTCCAGAACCGTTCTAAAACTTGGGGTTGGAACAAACCTTATCTATTGTTGTATACCTATCTAGGATTGATTTTAAGTATTTATGATAATAGATATAAGATTTTTTTTGTATAATATAGGTAGCCCTAGTCCTAAGATATATTCTCCACTACTGAAAAATCACATGCCGCACAGATTGTTGTAAAATCTATATCTGTCTTAGCTTTTTACCAAAAACTAATAATAATAATATTTTTTAGTTGGATCAACAGCATAAATAAGTAACTTTGTATTTTGTTAATTTGATATTTTTTTTATAATTTAATAAAATAAATTTTCACCATAGTTTTTTAATTTTTTTAATATTTTGATTTTTTTTTTTGGGAGAAAAAACTGAATGTATGTGACTATGATAATAGATATAAAAAATAATTGTCTAGTATGGTTAACTAATATTTTGTAAAAAATGTATTTTAATTGAAAATAGAATACCTAAAAAGAGAATTGTCGCAATTTTGATTTTTTTAAATTAATTTTACATGGTTCCTGGCTTTTCGATGGAATTTTTATGATTTTTACTTATATTTTATAGGAAAAAATGGAATTCCAATAATAAATTTAAGGTATTGTTGCCTAATATTTTACTAAAATAGTAAATATATGGTTATTAACGCTTCTCTGTTTAGAGATTATAAAAAAAGTAATAAATGGTAGCTACAACTATTTTACTAACTGTAGAATGTTTATGATTCTTTTTAAATGTTTCCCTGTATTATAAGTATTTAATTCATATTGTAAAACTACTTAAAAAATATATGTATGTAATAAATAAACTGATATTCTAGATTTTTTCAATTTTTTTTTGTACAGGGTGGCGGCACCTCATTTGCCTCGGTTGATTATACCCTTGTATATGAATTTTTAAAGTAGCTCAACCTAAGACGTTTATGGATGTAAAACACCAGATGGCGGGGCGTATTTTACAGTCTTTTACTACAGAAAAATATTTTTTGTTACTCTGAATTTTGAAGCGACCAATAAAAACAGAGAAAATAAAAATCGATAATTTTTTGTGCCAATTGGTTACTAATCGACCAGATACTTTTTGTCTATTAGATATGCTATAAAAGCTGGTAATTATTCAATTCGACCATTGTAAATACCCGACAAATTCCGCAAGGCCGACGAGGCCGACGCTTTTCACTGATAAGACAAAAAAATGTTTGTTTAGATAATTTTCGAGATATTTTTTGTTTCTGAATGCACATTTTTAAAGTATTTTATATTCTTTGTCATCTTGATTTATTATACTGGTTGCACGTATCGAAGTTCTGTTTCTTCTAGTTTTAAAAAGTGTTCTTATTTCTTTGTAGTTGTAGTGTAAAATTAGATTAATTTTATTAAGTTTAATTATAATGTTTAGTGTAGAATACCAGAATTAGTTTAGTAGTGTTTTTATAGTTTATTATTTTGTAGTTAAGTAGTAGGTGAAGGGATAATTTGGTTATTTTTTCTTTTTGTTTGGTTAATTAGTAAGTTTGATAATTTTTTCAGTGTAAAATACAAGAAGTAGTTGTGTAGTGTTTTTATAAGAGATTATATTCGTTTATTTTGTAGATGAGTAGTAGGTGAAGGTATTTGGGTATTTTTTCTTTTTGCTTTTCTTCTAATTATAGTAATTCTATTAAGTATTGTGATAGATACACTATATCTTCTTTCAACTTCGTTGAAAAGTGCGTTATCATATAATTTTGGTTTTCTGATAGTAGAATATACGAAAAAAAATCTGATCAAATTTATTTTAAAATAAATTAATCGAATCTTATTAATCAAATTAATCTAGTCAAATAATAATAATAGTTAGTTTCTAAATACTATACTGGGTGAGTTTCCTACGATGTTCGCTATGGGTATCTCGGAAACTACTGGAGACAGAGTTAGACGGAGGTTAAATGGGGAAAGAATTGCAGTTTTGTGGGGTCATAAATATGCGCCTTTCTGATTTTTCGGAGAAGTTCAAGGCTTACTAGATATTTCGAAAAAAACAAATTTTGGCTATTTTAAAACTTGTCTCTAATTCCATTATAATCTACCGTATGATCGAATAAAAACGGCGTCAACGATGGCTATGAAATAAAGATCGTTGTCATTTTATATGTAAAATTATATGGGAAATATCATCGATCGTCATTTCATAGCCATCGCTGAAGCCGTTTTTATTCGATCATACGGTATTTTAGACAAAAAGTTTTCAGATAAAAGTTGTAGATAATCACATACCTAATGAGTTTGTGTTTTCTGTTTTTTTTTTCTAAAGCCTGTCATTTTTGACATATGACACAAACATTATGTTTTTTTCAAATGGAAACCCTAGTTGGCCATGACTTCATAAAGAGCGCCATTCTTTAAGCTTTTCAGCGATATAGGTATAATATGTTTTTTTCGAAAAATTACAAGTTATAGCCAATTCTTTTCTTTCTTGGCTAATTCCCATACCAATAATACCATGCCAATTAGTTGGCATCAAAAATGTAAAAAGTTTTATGTTTTCAAAAAAAAATATCGTAAAATTTTTTAAAATTAAGCTCAAAGCACTCAATTTAGAATAAAATAATCTAAGAATGAAATGATTCTTTTACAAACCTGCATTAAATCAAATTAAAATAGGTATGTAACTTTTTTTCAAATATTAATTAACCGCAATTAGCATTATCATAATGAAATAATAATTTCTTTGTTAATACGGTTTAGAATTCTTAAAATAACAGGCAAAAATAATCCACAATTTACAATAAAATAAAAGTTTCGTTTAAATTTCTTAATCAGCTGATCACTATTAAAGTTCGCAGAAACCCGGGGCTATATTATTACATTACTCTGAGGAAAATAACGAAAATAATCGATATTTTTGACTCCGCCCCGAAAGGTTCACGATTTATTCCTCCAGTTGGCAGCACATTTTGTCTAGTCGGTTGAACAACTTTAAGAATATATAAACAAGGATTATACGAAAACAGAAAGATATAGAAACAACATATTTTATGGGAATATGTGGGAAGGCAATGTGCATAATCTAAAATTATTTTGAAATATACTGGGTGTGTCAGAACTAAGATCCATAACAAAGTTATATTTTTTATGGAGCACCCGGTATTTTATTTCATTTTTGAGTTCTTGGACATAAAATAAGGCATTTATTATAAAGGTTTAATACGTCTAAAAGCTTTGGTTTTTGAGATATTTAAATATGCATGCTATAATAAAAAAGTTTGTCAACACCTGCTTGTATATTACTTTTCAGAATTAATTCTTGTGCTGACTTTCAAGCCAGAGAAATAAACTTTACTAAAAAGTTTGATTGCTTCCTTAAATGTATACAGGGTTATCAAAAATTGCTGGTCTATTTTAAATATTTATTTTACATAAAAACTTCGTTATTTTAAATGCAGCACTATGTATTTTTTAAATATTTCGAAGCAGATTTAAATGCTTTTTCAAACTATATTAGGGTTTCCTATACCTATCTGGCTCAGATTTTGAATAAAAAGCGATTTTTCAATAAAATGGCAATCAAGATGGCTGGTGTCGTGCCATGGCAATTTTCTAGTGACACTTAGTAGTTATTTTTAAAATCGACCTTAGTTTATGGACTTTATATAAATTTATAACAGGTTATTTTTATTTTATTTACCTACAATAAGGTTAATAAGTAAGTATTTATTATTTTATCAAGAAAAATTAAGCAGTATATGCTGGCGGAATTTTTAATTGTAGAAAATTCATATTATTAATTTATCGTGCCTAAAATCTGTAAATCTACTATCTACTACGGATTATTTGGCAACACTGTCTCCGGCAACCACCCACTCTGTCGACTGAAAGCAGAACTACGCTACAGTATTCTTTAGGGTGCAGCCACACTATCCTAAAAACGGCGTATCGGCGTAACGGCGTAATGACCTTGAATAGATTTCCAGTAATTCTATTGGCTGAAACATTCATCTGTCAGAAATTTTATCTGTCAAATTCATCTGTCAAAAATTTCAGCCAATAGAATTACTGGAAATCGATTCAAGGTCGTTACGCCCTAAGGTTACGCCGTTACGCCGATACGCCGTTTTTAGGATAGTGTGGCTGCACCCTTATCCGCTGCTCTGGAAACGACATCAGCGCACAGCGGCGCAGAGTTAAACTAAATCTCGGACAGGCCGACGGCAACGCCAGCTACATCTCGGACATTTTTTGTGCCAAGAAATCGCCCACAAGGTTGGGGATCTTCTTATTTTTTCAAACAACGCTATCAGTGTAAAATTTACGCTAACCAATAATGTTCAAGAAAAATCCAGTTAACACTGTATTCAGGTATACCTATGTCACAGGCGTATCGAATAATTATTTATATACGGTATACCTATAATTATTATACTACAAAAACGCGGCCGGGCCTTTCCCTGTATTGGGAGCTTATTGACGCACCTACGTGCACTGCACTGACACGCAAATCCCTATGAAATGTAACTGCACGCGTAGATATCATTTGTTCGTTGTTGTTGCAGGTATGACCAAAAAAAATGCACCGACACGCATCCAGTGCAACTAGTTTACAGATCATTTCATTTAATAAAGCTGTTATCGTCCAACTCGATCGATCATATTTAAGCTAAACTTTTTTTTCATTTCTTTTCAGTAAAGTAAATTAATCAGCAAGATGTCCTCATATGATGAAGGTAAGCACTGAATTGTTCGTTCCTGTTTAAAAAAAATCTTTCACATCATCATCGTAATCATCGTTTTCAATATTGGCGATTATTTCTATATAAGGCCTGTGTGTGTGTGTGTCGATACCTTTTCTTTCGCTAGGGCTTCTATTGCACGTAGTGGACGTAAAACACATTTTTGCACAAAGCAAAATAATATTAACTAAACAAAAATGGAAAAAGTCATTTTTACTACATGACAAGCAAATAAAAATTAATATTTAGCCAACAGTGATCGTTCACTCGAAAGTGAAGATTTCTCTGGGGAGTACCCAGCAGTACCTGGGGAGGACTTGACACCCCCGGGCACCCCTGTAGTTAGGCCAATACCCACCGCCCTGCAACCCGGTTTACAGCCGCCCACCAAAGGCAGCGACCCCTACGACAACCCAGGTGAGTCTTTACCTTTTAACTCTACCGTATATGGTTGTTATTTTTTCCCTTTCCTTTTTCTTTGATTTTGGCTCAAAAAAACTCAAAGTTCAAAGCTCAAAAAAGTCCTCAAAAAAAATCAAAACTAGTGAAATAAATTAGTGGTTTCAATTAGCGTAGAAGTGTGTTCTTCTAATTTCAATGTAAGCATTTAGAACGTCAAAATTAGTGGACGGACCCAAAAAGAACAAAAATAATTTTGCCTTTGCAACCCACTATATATTATGACATTTTTGGAAACTACTTTCTTATCTCATAATTTTTCTATTATTGCACGTAGTGGGCGTAAAACACATTTTTGCACAAAGCAAAATAATATTGACTAAACAAAAATGGAAAAAGTTATTTTTACTAAATGACAAGCAAATAAAAATTAATATTTAGCCAACAGTGATCGTTCCCTCGAAAGTGAAGATTTCTCTGGGGAGTGCCCAGCAGTACCTGGGGAGGACTCGACACCCCCGGGCACCCCTGTAGTTACGCAAATGCCCACCGCCACGCAACCCGGTTTTCAGCCGTCCACCAAAGGCAGCGACCCCTACGACAACCCAGGTGAGGCTTTACCTTTTAACTCTACCGTACATGGTTGTTATTTTTCCCTTTCCTTTTTCTATGATTTTGGCTCAAAAAAACTCAAAGTTCAAAGCTCAAAAAAGTCCTCAAAAAAAATCAAAATTAGTTAAATAAATAAGTGGTTTCAATTAGCGTAGAAGTGTGTTTTTCTAATTTCAATGTAAGCATTCAGAACATCAAAATTAGTGGTAGTCAAAATTAGTGGACGGACCCAAAAAGAACAAAAATAATTTTGCCTTTGCAACCCACTATATATTATTACATTTTTGGAAACTACTTTCTTATCTCATAATTTTTCTATTATTGCACGTAGTGGGCGTAAAACACATTTTTGCACAAAGCAAAATAATATTAACTAAACAAAAATGGAAAAAGTTATTTTTCCTACATGACAAGCAAATAAAAATTAATATTTAGCCAACAGTGATCGTTCACTCGAAAGTGAAGATTTCTCTGGGGGTGCCCAGTAGTACCTGGGGAGGGCTTGACTCCCCCGGGCACCCCTGTAGTTACGCAAATGCCCACCGCCACGCAACCCGGTTTTCAGCCGTCCACCAAAGGCAGCGACCCCTACGACAACCCAGGTGAGTCTTTACCTTTTAACTCTACCGTACATTGTTGTTATTTTTTCCCTTTCTTTTTTCTATGATTTTGGCTCAAAAAAAACTCAAGTTCAAAGCTCAAAAAAGTCCTCAAAAAAAATCAAAACTAGTGAAATAAATTAGTGGTTTCAATTAGCGTAGAAGTGTGTTCTTTTAATTTCAATGTAAGCATTTAGAACGTCAAAATTAGTGGACGGACCCAAAAAAAACAAAAATAATTTTGCCTTTGCAACCCACTATATATTATTACATTTTTGGAAACTACTTTCTTATCTCATAATTTTTCTATTATTGCACGTAGTGGGCGTAAAACACATTTTGGCACAAAGCAAAATAATATTAACTAAACAAAAATTGAAAAAGTTATTTTTACTACATGACAAGCAAATAAAAATTAATATTTAGCCACCAGTGATCGTTCACTCGAAAGTGAAGATTTCTCTGGGGAGTGCCCAGCAGTACCTGGGGAGGACTTGACACCCCCGGGCACTGTAGTTACGCAAATGCCCACCGCCACGCAACCCGGTTTTCAGCCGTCCACCAAAGCCAACGACCCCTACGACAACCCAGGTGAGTCTTTACCTTTTAACTCTACCGTACATTGTTGTTATTTTTTCCCTTTCTTTTTTCTATGATTTTGGCTCAAAAAAAACTCAAGTGCAAAGCTCAAAAAAGTCCTCAAAAAAAATCAAAACTAGTGAAATAAATTAGTGGTTTCAATTAGCGTAGAAGTGTGTTCCTCTAATGTCAATGTAACCATTTAGAACGTCAAAATTAGTGGACGGACCCAAAAAGAACAAAAATAATTTTGCCTTTGCAACCCACTATATATTATTACATTTTTGGAAACTACTTTCTTATCTCATAATTTTTCTATTATTGCACGTAGTGGGCGTAAAACACATTTTTGCACAAAGCAAAATAATATTAACTAAACAAAAATGGAAAAAGTTATTTTTCCTACATGACAAGCAAATAAAAATTAATATTTAGCCAACAGTGATCGTTCACTCGAAAGTGAAGATTTCTCTGGGGGTGCCCAGTAGTACCTGGGGAGGGCTTGACACCCCCGGGCACCCCTGTAGTTACGCAAATGCCCACCGCCACGCAACCCGGTTTTCAGCCGCTTTACCTTTTAACTCTACCGTACATGGTTGTTATTTTTTCCCTTTCTTTTTTCTATGATTTTTTGTTTTGGCTTTTTATGGCTTCATGGACATAAGCCCTAAAAAACTCAAAATTAGTGGAATAAATGAGTGGTTTCAATTAGCGTAGAAGTGTGTTCCTCTAATTTCAATGTGAGCATCCAGAAGGTCAAAATTAGTGGACGGACCCAAAAAGAACTAAAATTTTTTTCCTTTTTTTTGTGTGCGTCCACTAATTTTGACTACCACTAATTTTGACGTTCTGAATGCTTACATTGAAATTAGAGGAACAAATTTCTACGTTAATTGAACAAAAATATTTTGCCTTCATTATGTGAGTCCACTAATTTTGACGACCACTAATTTTGACCTTCTGAATGCTTACATTGAAATTAGAGGAACAAACGTCTACGCTAATTGAAACCACTAATTTATTTCACTAATTTTGAGGTTCTGAATGAAGCATAAAGTATAATTGAAACCACTAATTTATTCTACTAATTTCGAGGTTCTGAATGAGGCTTAAAAGTTTCTTAACTTTTTCTACTAATTGAAAATTATTACAACTAACTTTGACGTTCTGAATGCTTACATTGCAAATTAGAGAAACCACTAATTTTGAGGTTCTTGATGAATCAGTCGTCTTTAACGTCATTTTTTTCGATCCTATTGTATATAAAGTATATGTAGTTGAATTTACTAATTTATACCATTAATTTCTAGAATTCTGAATGAAGCGTTATATTAGACTGGATTAAAAAAGCTTTTTTTTATTTTTTTTTATTGCATTCTTTTTATTAATGACAGTTCAGATTAATGTTATACATATATGAAATGAACAAAATTCTTACAGCTTTAGTGTATATTAATAAATAATATTTTCTTGTCTTTAGCTGTGTATTTTTTCTAATTTCGAAAAATCGAAAGTAGAGAAAAAAAAAAGTAAAAAGAAAATTGTTTTGCTTGTCGTAAAGGGGGGACCAAACTCCACTCCCACAACCGGTTTCTGGGCCTACCCTTCATCAGGTGGGCTGTCCAGGGGCTGGTTCTCACCGATACGGCAAGCAAAACTTTTTCAATATCATGCATCAGTGCATCTCCTGTTAAAAGTGATTTGATTGCTCTTTACCATCTTATGACAGATCGAGCAGGTGCCTTTATGTAAAAATGCAACGTGCCATGGCCGTGAATGAATCACCCTGTATTATTTATTTTTCCAGGAAACCCTGAAGACACCGGCGATGTTAAAGGTTCCGACTTTACCGACCAAAATAACCGTCGGGGTTTCATTCGAAAAGTCTACTCCATCCTCATGGTGCAACTGCTCATCACCTTTGGCTTCGTGACTGTATTCTGCTTCCACGTACCCACCGTTATGTTTCTTTACAGCACTTTCATCCTGTTCAACATGCCAGGTCTGTTCATCATCGCCCTAGTCGTGATGCTAGTCATCATGATCAGTTTAGCTTGCTGGGGAGAGTTCATACGCAAAGCTCCTGCTAACTACGTCATGCTGTTTATTTTTACAATGGCTGGAGGAGTTCTTGTGGGTGTCTTAGCCAGAATGTATGCACCATATGCTGTTTGGATGGCAGTTGGTATCACTGCTGTGGTTTGTTTGGCTTTGACGCTGTTCACCTTACAAACCAAGTGCGATTTCACCACGAAGAAAGGTATTCTACTGGTAGCTGTGATAATCTTACTGGTTTCTGCTAGTGTAGCGTCCTTATTACACAGCCTAATAACACGGAAAACATATAATACTCTGTTATCTGTGCTAACAGTGAATTTGGTCTACGCCTCTTTGGGAGCGCTGGTTTTCTCTGTTTATCTCATTTACGATACTCAGTTGATGATGGGTGGCAAGCATAAGTACAGTATTTCTCCTGAAGAGTACGTCTTCGCTGCTTTGAACCTCTATTTAGATATTATCTACATCTTTCCGAATCTTTTTAAACAAAGTTCGAAAAACAAAAAGAAAACTTAAAGCAGGATGAAATACATTCTAGAGGCCAATAAAGCTTTTATTTCTTTTAAACACCCGGTTGGTCGGCGTTCGGAGATCTTAATAGAAGAGCGCCACGAAATTATACTCTATGAACTCTGCATAAAAGATGAAACTACTAAGTAAACTTCAACGCTAACCTCGAACTGTTGAGTGTATCTACCATGAACTTCAAATATGCTATAACTATTTCAAGTTAAGTGATTCTGACTTAACTATGAGACTAGACTGTATAAATAATATGAAAATATGAAAATTAAAGGTAAATGTAGTTAAATATACAGATAGTTTTTGTACAAAAAAGGACTAATTAGATCTCTCTCAACGAGATAACATATAACAACAGATAACTCTACACGGACAAGTGGAACTACCAGGAATATCTGGACTGTCCGGTGCTGTACGGCTCTGGAACGGCTTCTCAAATAAGATTTATGAAAGATAACACTCAACCAATTTTTCTACGCCACGTGGGCGTGGGAAATTCGAAAACCAGTCAACAATATGAACAAAAATCAGTTGAGCGTTGATTTAGAATAGGCAAGAGAAGATTTACAACATACCTTAGAACTATTCAGCCAGTTCTAAACACGAAGCTATTCGGACGATGTAACTATTCATAAAGTTTCCAACGCAATCAAGGTTTATATACTATAGAGTTGTTCCGTGTATCGCCTACTCTCGTGATGTCACGCTGAAGAGATTAGGCCTTTTTTCTCGAAGGTAACGGTTTGCATCAACCGTTTTATTTTTTTATGTATTGGACGTAGTTAAAGTTAAAGTGCGAACTAAAATATTATTTCCGCTCTTATTGTGAAATTTTATAAAGAATAAATATCATTTGATTTATAAAATTTTTCTAGGTTTTGATGTAAAAAGTATATGTTATGGTAATTTTCTGTCTAGGTTTTGATGTAAAAAGTATATGTTATGGTAATTTTCTGTGACTTGAATGTATCTATTGTTGTATACCTATCTAGGATTGATTTAAGTATATATGATAATAGATATAAGATTTCTTTTGTATAATATAACTCTAGTCCTAAGATACGTTCTCCACTACTAAAAAATCACATATGGCGCACAGGTTGTTGTAAAATCTATATCTGTCTTACCTTTTTACCAAAAACTACTAATAATAATAATATTTTTTAGTTGGACCAACAGCATAAATAAGTAACTTCATATATTGTTAATTTGATGTGATTTTTTTATTTAATAAAATAAATTTTCACCATAGTTTTTTCATTTTTTTGATATTTCGAAATTTTTTGGGAGTAAAAACTGAATCTATATGACTATGATAATAGATATAAAAATAATTGTCTATAGTATGTTTACCTAATATTTTGTAAAAAATGTATTTTAATTGAAAATCGAATAAAAAAAGGAATTGTCAATTTTGATTTTTTAAATTAATTTTACATGGTTCCTGGATTTTCGATGGTATTTTTATGATTTTTACTTATATTTTATAAGAAAAAAATGGAATTCCAATAATAAATTTAAGGTATTGTTACCTAATATATTACTAAAATATAAAATATATGATTATTAACGCTTCTCTGTTTAGAGATTATAAAAAAAGTAATAAATGGTAGCTACAACTATTTTACTAACTGTAGAATGTTTATGATTCTTTTTAGATGTTTTCACTGCATTATAGGTATTTAATTCATATTGTAAAACTACTTAAAAAATATATATGTAATAAATAAAGTGATATTCTAGAGATCTCTTTTATATTATTATATATATATATATATATATATATATATATATATATATATATATATATATATATATATATATATATATATATATATATACAACTCGTAACCGTATACACCAGTGTACACCAGTGCAGACACGCATCCACACACTCACACAACCACACCTACACTAGTGCACACTAATGTATCTGCCTTCAGGCATCATCAGTACGGTAAGGATTCAGGAAGCGAAGAAACCGATCCCAAATCACAAAAAGCCAGGAAGCAAACGATGCAACGAGGCACCGTGTGCAACCCAGGAGATGGAAAAAAGAATTGATGAAGAAACGAAAATAAATGATGAAAAAAGGGAGCAAACGGGAGCCTAAAGCCCCAATTTCCAGCCAAGAACCAGAGTCGCCCAGGATTGTGGGCTTCGTCAGACTAGCCGCGGAGGTAGCCAACAGCAACCCGCCGCAATACCCTATAACCGTGGTACCAATATGAAAGAGAAAGAAATAGTGAGGGAAATGTATAAAAAAGAAGAAAAAAGATTGAACGGCTCAGCCCTCAACAACTCGTAACCGTATACACCAGTGTACACCAGTGCAGACACGCACACCCACACACTCACACAACCACACCTACACTAGTGCACACTGATGTAACTGCCTTCAGGCTTCATCAGTACGGTAAGGATTCAGGAAGCGAAGAAACCGATCCCAAATCACAAAAATCCAGGAAGCAAACGATGCAACGAGGCACCGTGTGCAACCCAGGAGATGGAAAAAAAAATTTGATGAAGAAACGAAAATAAATGATGAAAAAAAAAGGGAGCAAACGGGAGCCTAAAGCCCCAATTTGCAGCCAAGCTTTAGGCTCCCGTTTGCTCCCTTTTTTTTTTTTCATCATTTATTTTCGTTTCTTCATCAATTTTTTTTTCCCTCACTATTTCTTTCTCTTTCATATTGGTACCACGGCTAAGGGTATTGCGGCGGGTTGCTGTTGGCTACCTCCGCGGCTGGTCTGGACGAAGCCCACAATCCTGGGCGACTCTGGTTCTTTATCTGCAAATTGGGGCTTTGGGCTCCCGTTTGCTCCCTTTTTTTTCATCATTTATTTTCGTTTCTTCATCAATTTTTTTTCCATCTCCTGGGTTGCACACGGTGCCTCGTTGCATCGTTTGCTTCCTGGATTTTTGTGATTTGGGATCGGTTTCTTACCGTACTTTGGGATCGGTTACCGTACTGATGAAGCCTGAAGGCAGTTACGCGTTAACATTTTTTCGGCAATTTTATTAATATTTGAAATTGTCACAACACAACACGACCCCTAGTTCGAATTCTTTTTCACTTATTTTTTACTACCCGAAACAGCGTTACATCACACAAACCTCGTACCTGAGTGTTTTATAGTCTCAAAAACTGCACTAGCAAAAAAATAAAATACTTAAATACTATAACAAAACCACGATTTCAATATTATTTTAATGCGATCAACATGACGGTGGCGTGAAATAGGTACTGATAATTACTGATTTTTGCCGTTGAAGCGCTGCGGTCGGAATTTTTGGTTTGGTTTGGTTGAAACCAACTGAAATGCACCAAGCCTATCGCGCATAAAACGTTATGTGTAGGCGGGACTTTACTCGAAAAGCACCTGCTCTAGAGCGTTTCATCCACCATGGTTTCGTATCTTCGCAGGTAAATTTTCTCCTAGCGCTTGCCTAGTAGAGTGGAGCAGTCAGATTTCGAACCTCGACATATTAAGGTTATTCCGTACGTCCCGTTCACGTCGTCCTTAAAAAACGCTTGAAAAACATCGCGTTCATATGCCACAAACCTGTTCCAAATGCCACTCGAAACAGCGTTTTAGATTTGTCCGATTATTTTACGAAAGATTTAAAGTAAATCAGTGACAGAATCTAACTCCCTTTAAAAAAGCAGTGTTACAATAAGGCGGTATTGTCGGTGTTCTTTTTTGTTGTTTTTGCTGTGAGAATTTTGGATATTTCAAAGAAAGGAGTTTATGGACGTCTATAAAATCAACCTGCCTAGGTAAGAAAAAGATTTGTATTAATACCATATTAATACACAAAGGAAATACCTAACAGTAAAAAAACTAAAAGGTAGATGTATTTTTTTCGCACTTTTTTTTCTGTTATATCTTGTTTTAATTAAAAACAATTTTAAACAAATGAGTCTTCTCATTAAAACGACGACGCTGCTAGTTCCATGTTCATTAAATTTATAATTAGCAAAAAAGCGTATATTTTAAAATAGACTTCTGAAATGTTGCAAAATTGGTTCTATTTTTGCGCTAATTTGAAAAATTTAACTATGTTTTGTCATTTTGGATGAAATCCAACGAAAACTAGGACGTATTTTCTACAAATTACTACTAATGTGCAATTAAAATCAATTTATGGACATACTGAATATTAATAAGTACCTACTAAAGATGTTGATGGTTTTAAAATACGTCGATATCGATAAATTAAAAAAAAATATTAATTTACTTAATTCCTATTCTGGTCAATTATTTTATTTTCTCCGAAGAGGGTGTAATATACAGGGTGGCCCATTAGTGCGAGGAAGTCCAATATTATGGTGCGTATCTTAAAATTATTTGATTGTATAAATATGGTGTCGCAAAAAAGTAATAATAAAGTTTTAAGTTTTTTTTTTAAATAGTACAGAGTTGGATTAAGCATAAAATTCTGCATATAGTACACTATTTTTATTTGGAGGACTATGCGGTGTTGAAAATTTTGGTTAAAATCAGGATATCCGAAAAGTGGTTACCTAAAACTAGGAGTAATACTTAGCTATATTTTCTTAAACATCAAGGATAACAAAATAAATGCGTGAAATAAAAGTCACATTATCTAATACAGGGTGTTTTTTTATGGCACGGCCAACATCGCAATATGTATTTAGAATGCTATATCTCAATTTTGTTAAATGCAACACCCTGTATATTGTTTTTCTTTTTGATGCGTTTCCTAAATTTTTAACGGTTTTGCAGATATCTGCGATATTATAATATTATTATTATTACATTATGGCTCTTTCAACAGTAAATTTTTATCAAAACAACCTAATGATTTTTGTCTTATAATATTTTACTATTGAAAGAGCCATATAATATGTAATATCATAACACAATTTTTTAATTCTGCATCTAGAAGAATAATATACAGTGCGTTGCATTTAAAAAAATTGGCGCCGGGAGGCACGTGGGTATAGCCGTCCATACTTTTTTGTTAATAAAAAGTTGGTAGGCAGTTCTTTTAGTTTCAAAGTAAAGGAATTTTTCCAATTTTTTTTATCTCAAAAACTGCGACTTTGACTGATTTTGATGTTATTACAAATTTTGTTGCAAATATTATTCCTAATCTTAAATTGAAAACCGCGTTTCGCTTGCTACTGTAATATTGGAGTTAAGATTTTTTAAAATTTTTAACCCCCTTCCATACCCCCTTACCAACCCCCCACCCCCACCAAAAACTAATGGCCAGATTCTCGGGTGCCGCAGTATTTTTGTGCCAAATTTGGTTAAAATCGGTTTAGCGGTTTTTGAGTTATCGTGTTACAGGCGGACAGACAGACAGACACCATGAAAATATTTTGTATTTAGGTCATTTATGACCCAAATAACTAATTTCGAGTGAAATTAAAAAAAAACAGTTTTTTTTGCTGATCTTAATAGCCTACCATACCTATTGGTATGGTCGGCTAAAAATGAGATATATACTCTGTTTTTTTTTTCTCAGGTAAGATTTCGACAGACGATGACAGAAGAAAAGCAGATGACGTCCCATACCAATCTATTTATTTTACTAAAAAAAGTTTCTAATAATTTTAAAGTTATCTATGGATGGGTTTAAATATAAATCCGTCATGCGTCGTGTCTTGTTGTTTTTAACCAGTTTTATTGGTTTATTTAAAAAATGACAGATCGTATTTCAATTTTATTGGTTTGACGGAACGATGAACGACAAACGGACGCCGATGCGTATGAACTCGCCTTTAGATTTTTGTCATTTTTGACGCTTGTCAAAGTTTTGCCAAATTATAGGTTATAATTTTGTGTCAACTTTTGTTAAATACCCTGCGTTTTGGAAGATGATGCATTTTGATTCGTATTATTACGTGTGTTTTGTGTCTTTTGAAGTCAAGTGGAGGAAAAATCGAGTGAAAATTAACTATAGACCCAGAGCACAGTTTATGGTTAATACTCGCTGCCCAGGCAGAAAGTCTTATACACCAATGAAGTTGCCATCGATAAAGTTTGTATACCATTTCGTCGTAGATAAGTGCATCTCGTATATGGTAGAAGGATCAAACTAAACACATACTAAAAACTGGAGTAGCTGTAAAATATCGACATCACACGATAGGTAAATAATGGATTTTAGTACTACAGAAAAATAATGTCAAAAGGTACTGGTTTAAAAAAATTAAGATTAAAGTTAATTAATCAACCTTTAAGGTATAAAATTTGGTAGGTGTTATTATTAATAAAATAGTTTGTTTTATTTACCTATGTTGTTTTATTTATTCCTGTGGAATATTACAAATTTGTATTTGTGCATAAGTTATATTGATAAATATAATCATAAATGCGGGTAGTTTCATAAAGCTTGAAAGTAAATAATAGTCCTTTTTTATATTTTTTTGGTATGTAGTGTCTTGTTCTTGTTTGTTTTGTATTAACACATACCGTTTTTATTAAATAAAATAACTCGATTACATTTTTTCAGTTTTATACAGTTTTTTTCACAATATTTTGAAGTAATCACTGGTCATCTTGTCAATCAAATTTTAAATATATCCTGCTATGCGTTCCAGTTGTACCAACTTATTTCTTTGTAAAATAAAATAAACTACTTGGAAATTAAAATGACAGACACACCTATCACTGTCAAGGATCTTCTCGTTGGACAGACTATAGCATTCTAAATACTGCAATGTTGGCATCGTCTTAAAAAATACTCTGTATAAGATGTGTGGTTTCTTGATTTGTAGATATTTGCAAAGATTTTTTAGATTCATATTTCCGGAAATAACAGAGTTCAACTACTTAACAGATTATCATTGGCACGCAACTATACACCAATTTGAGCCACTCTGTATTTATTGCCGTTTCCCAATTCCAAATGCTGACAGTCGAATTTGAAATACAGCGTATATTTGCTGCCTCATTTATTAGATTGTAATTTCAAAAATATCGCAGGATATTAAAATGTATTGGGATTATCGATACATTTAAAAATGTATCGACAAAATCGAATATATCGATATATTTACACATCCCTACTATAAACATTTTGATGAGAATAGAGAAAGTATGCTAATTTAGCGTAGAAAAACGCAAAAACTGTACCGAACAAAATTTGAGTCGCCTTTTTATATTGTCTGACAATATTTGCAATATTTGACGCCTACAAATGTCAACAGAAAGTTTGATGTACTTGGTTTATGTAAATTTTTCAACATTTAAGAGAACACTGAAGATAATATAAAGAACAGTACATCAGTAAAGTGGGCAAAGGTCCGTCAATATGACTGACAGTCCGTTCTTCAGACTCGATGTCTGTCTCTAAGATTTGTTCATCAAAAGATCTGTCATTCAATATTGTTCGTCCAAAAATGTCCGTCAATCGAATTCAATCAAATCAAGAGTGGAAGTAAAATGATACTAGAGATTTTTAGACATTTTTCTTTGGATGATATTCTCTATTTTAACATACAAAAAATTATTGCATTTTGTTTGTCATTCGGGGAGTAATGCTCACACACAGAAAAGGTACAATATGATCGAAAAAAAGCGTTGGCTGTGAAACGAAGATTGCTGTCATTTTATATGTAAAATCATATGGGGAATGTCATCGATGTTCATTTCAAAAATTGCCTAATGCGTCAGTACTATTCTTCAAAAACGTCCGCTATTTTTTTGCCCCCCGCCTGCGTTCGTCATTGGTTGATTCAAAGTCTGGTCACTTTATACATCAGTCATTTGCTGCTGGTCCTGTATTTGCAGTCAGCAATATACAGGGTGTCCCATTAGTGCGAGAAACTCCAATCCAATATCGTCGTTGTTGCCGAAGAATTGAAAAAAAGTTTTATACATATATTTTATTGTTTATAATGGTGCATATCCTAAAAATATTTTGTTGTATGCAGGTTACCACAAAAAAATATAATCGTATCTAGAGATTCTCTTCGTTTACTTATTTCTCTCGACTTTCTTACAAGTTTTTTAAACAATGAAGCGTTAAAAAAATCAAGAATCACATAGCGGAAAATACTATAGCGTGTATCTACTAAACGCATCAGTCTTCAGGTGAAATCTTCGTTTAAAAACAATAATAATAAAGAGTTTTTTTCCTTCATTGCCATTAAAAGTCATTTATGCAGAAAGAAAATAAACGCAGGCGAAAGAGCCAACAATAATAATAAATAATAATAATGGTAGTTCTAAAAATGGGCCAGTTCAACGTTTACGAATAAGCGGGTTCATGACGGTACGGTTAAAAAGTAAAAGTACCACCAATGGTACCGCTTGGTACCAAGCATCGCGGAATCCGCTGTTTTGTCCGGTACGATACCGCGTTGCCAGATCTTGCGAAAAGTCTTACGATTTTCGTTTTTTTTCTTCACAGTTGTTAGTACAGTACAGTACAGTTGTTACGTCGTTAGTACAGTACAGTACACAATAATTTATCATGTCAAAACACCCAAACACCAATTTTCACCCAAATATCGACATTAATTCAGAAATTATTTTGAAAAAATCGAAATAAAAATGAAACTTCTACACCCTGTATTTCTGAATCGAAGAATTTTAAGACAAAAATTTATACGAACTTTTTTACTTATTTTTATCAGCAGAATATTTTGTCAAAGCCTCCCGATTATAATTTGAACTACCCTGTATAAATAAATTGTTTTGATTTTCAGTGCAGTACTTAACACTGATAATTCTATTGTAGCATTGGTTTTTAAAATCTCCACAATATGTAAATTTCAATGTAGGAAAATATGAGGTCAAC